CAACAGCCTCAGCCAACACCAATGCTACGACTTCAGCAACAAATACCACTTCTGCTTCTAACATCACCATCTCTTCAACTGCATTGGCAGATATCCTGTCTGCTGACGCCCACCCTGTGCAACCTGATACAGACTCTGCAACATCCTTGCACACTGCTACTACTCCAGACGAACCATCTACTTCTCCAGTGGTACCTGAGACTGCACCAACTTCAACAGCTTCACCAGAAAATACACCAGCCGCACCTGAGACTACACCAGCTTCACAGGTACCTACACCTGATGCTTCTGAAAACCAACACTTGTTTTCCGATGATGACTCTACTGCCTCGATTGACGTTGAAGCACAATCACCATCTCCAGCAACACAGGAGTCTCCAAGAGTCTCCGCACTATACGATCAACGTGAACAACTTACACTTGGAACTCCCGAATACAGACGCCTCTCCAGCAAAATACTCAACACAAGGTATGCGGAATGCCTGCTGAATGATCCAAACTTAAAGTACACACTAAAGAACGAAGTAATCTTCGTTGAATGCGACGAAACCACATTGTCAAAGGACCTTTTCCCACCAGACTACGCCGATTACAAACATCAAATGATTACTCGAAGCAAGAAGAAAGAAGAAACACCAAATTGAAAAAGAAGAAGACACCACATGAAGACAGATTGTTTCCACCTTGAATGCTGAAGCACTGCCACCGCCGCCTTCCAGACCCGCCTCCAAGCCTAGCCAGTTGTTGGGTTGTTTGCAGCATCTACATATTGCCACGCAGCTGGGTTTAGCCCTGGCACTTTTTCTTCAACTTCAGCATTTCCTCTCACCGACTACTCTTCAGCTGTCCCCACTTCAAGGCTCGCCCCAATGGGCATCTTCTCCTGTATTATTCAGTTCAGTTCAGTCGCAAAAGTTCATTATTGTATCGCAACGCCAGCCAGCACGAGCATCATCATGCCACCCAAGGCATCTGGAAAGGCTGCCAAGAAGGCCGGAAAGGCCCAGAAGGCCATTGCCAAGGGCGATAAGAAAAAGAAGCGCAGGAGGAAGGAGAGCTACAGCATCTACATCTACAAAGTGCTGAAGCAGGTCCACCCCGACACTGGTATCTCTTCCAAAGCCATGTCGATCATGAACTCGTTCGTGAACGACATCTTCGAGCGCATCGCCGCCGAGGCTTCTCGCCTGGCCCACTACAACAAGCGTTCCACCATTACCAGTCGGGAGATCCAGACGGCTGTAAGGCTCCTGTTGCCCGGAGAACTGGCCAAGCACGCCGTCTCTGAGGGCACTAAGGCCGTCACCAAGTACACCTCCTCCAAGTAAACGGCTTACTTACTGCCCTGTGGTGGTGGCTTGGCCTCAAACCAACAAACTCGGCTCCATTGGAGCCACACTTTAATTTCTAAAGAGATTGTGAGTGTTAGACACCAATACTATTATAACAAAAACCTCTGTCACTGAAAGCAAATAGCTATAAAATGAGAATATTTATGAAACTGTCTGTGTGTGTTTCTCTCTCTCAGTCTCTGTCTGTCTGTCTCTGTCTCTGTCTCTGTCTCTGCATGTCTCTCTCTCTCTCTCTCTCTCTCTCTCTCTCTCTCTCTCTCTCTCTCTCTCTCTCTCTCTCTCTCTCTCTCTCTCAACACACATATAAACACTCGGTATCTTTTTTCTAGAGATTAGAGATTCATTGTTATGTTCCACATTAGGATTACTATGCAGGCCACCCTCTTAAGGTTTGAAAATGTCAAGAAAACGGTTAATTTAAAATGTCATCTCCTAACTTAACAGATTAAGCCAGAGGACCAAAAACAGAATAAAACAGGACAGGACAGTATGTCACTTATACAAGCTGCTTTTATTTCTAGTACAGTATGACAATTTTTTTTTTTTTTTTTTTGGAGGGGGGGGGGGGGGGGGGAGGATCCTTGGCAGTGCATAAGAATGAAAAGCGACGGCGTTTTGTTTGTAAGAGGACAGGTTGTACTACAAATGACTTGATTTATTGATATCACGTGTACAGTGTATGTATGACACCTAAATTATTGTATTTATTTATTTATTATATGTATAGATGAAGGTTAATTCATATGACTGATGCTAGGAATGTCTGAAATCTCCTTAGAAGGATATTTTGGCCCTGAGAAGGGCCGAGTTTGGTGTATACTAGGGTGGTCGTTTTAGCTTATGCACGCTCTCCACGGATACGGCGAGCAAGCTGAATGTCCTTTGGCATGATGGTGACACGCTTGGCGTGGATGGCACAGAGGTTAGTGTCCTCGAAGAGACCGACCAGGTAAGCCTCGGATGCCTCCTGTAAAGCCATGACGGCAGACGACTGGAAGCGAAGATCGGTCTTGAAGTGGCATTACACAGATAAAGGCATAAAGGCATAAAGAAAAAAACATATAAACCGAAAACCTAAATCAGGCTCTCTGCACCCAGCACTGCCGGGTGGGTAAATATTAGGCAGCAACCTAGAGCCATGATTTACCGCATAAAGGTCCGGTTTCGTGACGAAACCACTTACACCGGACCCCAATTACTAAGGAAAATCGTTGACATCACGAACGCAGCCCCGTTGGACATCCGTGACGATGCTGACGGCGCTGTACTTCTTTATTCAAGCGAGCAAGCTCTGGAGCAACTGTTTGCACCAGAACACCAGGACGCCCTACGAAACGCCAACCTGATCATCACTCCTAACCGTCGCTACTTGGCTGAACGAACCATCTTCGTCAGCCACACAAGTGTCTACATCGCCACCCAAGACCCTGGTACCATACTTGATAGTATCAACACCAGAAACCCGGCTCTGACTGCTGCTACAGTCAAGGTCATCAAGAACAACGACAACCCTAGGCCTACTCTCAAGGTCACCTTCACAACAGCTGCTGCAGCTACCCAAGCTGTGGAAAATGGATTTAGATGTCTGGATATTTCCATCACACCTGACACTGTAAAGAAGGAACGGTACTACAACATTTGCCAGTGCTTTAAGTGCTACAAGTACGATCATGATACCAAGAACTGCCAACAAGCAGAGGTTAAATGCAGCATTTGTACCCAGGATCATCATTTCAAAACCTGCCGGTCAACCACCAAACTGTGCCTCAATTGTGGAGGAGCTCACACCGCCGTCTCCATGGACTGCCAAGTACGACTAGACGAAATAAATAAAACAGCATCTGCCAACCCAACAACCAATCAGCCGGCGAGCTTCAATATCCAAGCTACATCGTTTCCAGTGCTTCCCAACGCTTCTGCTCCTGCTACACAGACGTCCACACCAGGCCAGACCACCCCCCAATGGGGACCCAGGACACAGGCGACTGCAGCTCAGCCAACCAACTTGACTGTCAACCAATCAGCGGCCTCGACCAACACCACTCTCATCCCATGCCTGATCAGTGTAGCTGAGAGAGAGGCGGGAACAGACAACGCAAAATACGTGAGAGTACTGAACAGGCTGCTCGCCCAGAACAACCTGCCTACAATGTTGATACCAGCAGACCTATTTCAACATCACAACGCTGCTTCAACCCAAACAGACGAAATTCCAACACCAACAGCAACCGCAGTCATACCGCAACCACCACCACCGGAGTCGAACCCAGCACAAGTCACCCAGGCAACAGCATCCACCCAGACTACCACCACAGCAGACAAGTCAACCTCATCACCTGCCCCCACCAGCCCGAGACGGAAGAAAATGAGAGGAAAAAGGAGACCAAAATGTCAGCAAGTGGAATCAGAATCAGATTCAGAACCAGAGTTCCTAGAAACCTTGGCTGAGACCTTCACATATGAGGCCCCAGACTTCGACCTAAACCCAAGCAAATCAAGCAAGAAAATGCCCTGCTTTGGACTTTACCTCAATCACGGTGGCAATTTCAACGGCAATCGAAGCACAAGAATGGTCATTGCCTTAGAATGCAACAGGATCATGAACCAGCTCAAGACCACCATTCCTTACCCTGCGTTTGTCCACCACGAGACCGTGGAACGCTATGTAGACCTCTGCGCTCTGGAGAGTGAATACATCGACCCTAAATTCGACTTCAATAGGGGACAAGTGACCTTCCTGGAAGAAGATGAAGACCCGACAGGAACACCAATACCACCGCTAACATTCGGGAAGTACATGCGAATACCTCCTGGCCGAGACACCACCAAGCAACAGTGAACTTACCTCTCACCATCTCAATAAGGAAGACGCCTCCTCCAAGCCAGACAGACCACCTCAAGTGAACCAGGACGACATCACCCTGCCCCACCACTAACCTCCTGCCGCCCAAGAAGAACTTAAGCTACAGGCTTTGACTGAAAAAACATCTCCAATCCAAGGTGGACGGGCCACCGAACTTTCAAGCCTCCTCTCTCCACATCCAAATCCTCTTCCAAGAATTTCATCGCCCCACCCTTCTTCCTCCCACATCCTTTCCAAGCTCTTTGGACATCAAAGCAAAGGTCTTGAAGTCCTGGGCAATCTCGCGCACCAGACGCTGGAAGGGAAGTTTCCTGATGAGCAACTCTGTGCTCTTCTGGTAACGACGGATCTCACGCAGGGCGACCGTTCCGGGCCTGTAACGGTGAGGCTTCTTCACGCCCCCTGTGGCAGGAGCAGACTTGCGTGCTGCCTTGGTGGCCAGCTGCTTACGAGGAGCCTTGCCTCCCGTGGACTTGCGAGCAGTCTGCTTGGTGCGAGCCATGGTGAACAACTGTGGTTTGTGATGGCCGGATTAACGGATTAAAAAGTCCATAGAGCTGGCAAGCAGGGGATGGAAGAACGGGGCGAGGTTGCAGAAATCTTGAGCAAGGATCTGGAGATGAGGTGAAGAGAGGAGATGAAAGATCGGTGGCCCAACCACCGCGGATTAGAACTTGAGTAGATGGAAGTAGAATTGAGTTGGGCGTCATTTGCAGTCCACGCAGAGGCCAGGAACGCAAGCAGCTGGCAGTTGATGGTAATTGAAGGTTGATTACTTCATTGGTTTACTTCTTTCTTGATGGTGGGAGCAAGGTCTGATCTTTGGTCTTTGTTTTCGGCTTGTTTTTCTTGGCGGTCCGACTTCGTGTTGACAATGCTGTGGGATCAATAGCGTCATAAAGAAAATCGGCAGATGAATAGTTGTATTTCTGTGAAGGTGGAGATGTCGTTCCCACAGAGACATCCTCATCTGATGAGTCAGATGAGTACATCCCAGGAGATGTGGGTCTTGGAAGTAGTGTTCCTGATGGTTTGGTAGCAGCGGTAGGACTTACTGCAGATGTAGAAGGTTCAGTGGATGTATGTACTGTGGGTGGAGATGTAACAGGAGATGGTGGATGAGAAGTCGTCGGCTTCTGGGTTGCTACCATGCCAGGAGCAGATGTTGCAGCTGCAGTAGGTTCAGTATCGTTCACAGCAATGTCCGAGGCTGGACCAGGAGCTGGAGCATCATCCGACAATGGGTTTGAAGGGTCGGGGACTAGCACAGTGGTCCCTGAAGGTTTGGTATGAAGAGGTGTTGGTTGACTCTGCTGGGTTGAAGGTTCATTGCCCGTTCGTTCTTGAATTTCTTTCTTTATCATAGCGGCGTGTTTCGGATATTTCACGTAGTATTGAGGGTCAATAATGGCAGGGTGGAGTATGGTAACATCAGTGCAGTAACGAACTGTGTCAGCCTCAACGTACCAAAACTCTCTGCGGGTTCCGTCATCGTTCAGTCCGTTTTCGTAGTCGATGTTCCACTCCCGAGCTGTGACACGTTTCTGAGAAATATTAAATTTCAGGTCTCTAGGGCAATTGTAAGACGCATAAACAGGAGCAGGAGGGTCGTTGTCTTGTGTGGAGAGACTAACAGCCTCTACTGGGTCTGGTGTAGGGTCAGCAGCAACTGGAGTGGTGGGTGGAACAGTGGCAGACAGTAGGTCAACAAGTGCGGCAGCGTTGACAGTGATTTCCGGCTCAGTTACTGAAGTGGAAGCTGAGGCAGAGGTGGGGAAGACTTCGTCAGGTACGATGATGGTCTGGAGTCCGTTAGCCTTGTAGACGATATTTAGAATCCTCACAAATTCTCGGTAGTTGGAACCAGTAATGTCGCTCACTAGTTTCGTGAGAGCATGTGCAGTGCTAAGGTCGGTGACAGTAACCGGCAACTGCCGTGGCGAAGTCTGAGTCGACGAATGGGAGGAGCCTGGTGGTGGAGGTGGAGGCTGGGTCTGTGATTGGGCAGCTGGTTGGCTGCCGGACTGCATGCCGGGTCCCCATTGGTTGGTACGTTGGTGGGCGGCTACTCCTTCCCCCGGGAGCTCCGGGAAAATGGCGGCTTGCATGTTGAATGGTGACTGAGCACGAGCAGTTGCGGAAGCCCGTCCAGCTGTCAAGAGCTTCTTAATTTCTTCCTGTCGCACAGGACACAAATGAGAAATAGCAATATGGTCACCACCGCACACTACACAACACGTGATATCGGCGCGACACTGTTTATAATGGTGGTCCTTGGCACAGACACTACACTTGTTTACACTTTGGGGGCACTTCCTGGTCACGTGTGAGTACTGGTAGCACTTGTAGCACTGGCTTACCTCGTAAAAACGTTCCTTGTGCACTGAAGCTGGTGGAGTATTGATGCCTAAGCACCTAAATCCTGTGGTGGTGGCCTGGTCCGCTGCGGCAGCTGTAGTGAAGGTCACTTTCAAGGTGGAGCGAGTGTCGTTGTTGTTGGCGATGATTTTTGCTGAGACAGCTGTCATGTTTTCGTTTTCCCTGTTGATACTGTTCAGGATAACGTCCACCTCGTGCTCGGTGATCCATGAGCTTACTCTCCTGGCAAAGATGGTTCGTTCAGCTTGAAAGCGTCGTGGTTGGATGAGGGTAATATCCGCATCGTAGAGTGCAGATGTAGCAGCAGGTGTGAACAGGTGTTCCAGGTCGTCTCCGGTCGAGTAAGAGAGGACGATACCTTCGTCGTCCTGCTGGATGTCGTCTGGTACTGTGTTGGTGGTGGCTTTGAGAACGTTGAGAATTTCTTCTCGTCCGAAAGCGTGGTTCTCTAGGAACCGTGCCTTAACTTTGTAGGCCATGGTACTGTGTGGCTAGTACCGGCGAGGGCCGAGCCGAGGCAATACAGCTGACCCACCCTCCTGGGCAGGTCGAAGGATGTACACCCCCTCACTATCTGGTTGGCTAGGCAGCTCGCAGGTGAGGAGCAACAAGAGACACGTCCGGCCGTGACGGCTGCAGGTTGATCGTGATCGTGATGCTTGATCGTGATCGTGATCTGTGATCTGATCTGATGGCCGGCGCCGAAAAATTTTTGCTTATATACGCCGTCTCGAGGCGCTTGCTCGAGCGCCATTGGCTGCTCGACTCGCCTACGTCACCCCGTTGCCCCTCCCCTCCTTCCTCTGGCTGCAGCCAACAGGCAGCTCACCTCAAACACTATTATCGCTGATTTTGCTCTATTTTTTGGATTTGTGCAAAAGTCATTTCACAGAGACGTGAAACAGACGAGTAGGCAACTGCAGTTTTGAAAGCGTTGTGAGAAAGCCGTGTTTCTGCTCGAGTACAAGCATAAAGTAAGGACAGGCAGGAGTTAGGAGTTGCCATGCTACAAGTACGTCCGCTTGACGGGATATAGTCTGGGGAAATCGTGCCGAAATTTCCTATACATAAACGACATTCCTGACCCTGTTCATCACACTTCATTAACCATATGTTATGCTGATGATGTCTCTCACCTTGTCACCAGCAACACCATTGATACACTAACAAACAGAGCACAAACAGAACTTGATGTTGTCACTGAGTGGGAGTACAAATGGCGTATAAAAACCAACTCCAGCAAATCTAAAATCACCTACTTTTTCTGTAAAAGAACTATTCGCCCAATTCCTCTCAAACTCTATTCATACACTCAAAATCCTACTTACATCTCTGTATCTCCCTCCTCCACAGTCCTGGGACTCACATTTGATCGACAACTACTCTTTCACACACACATAACACAGAAACATGCAATAGCTCTTCAAGCCATGAAGAAACTATACAGACTTAGATTTGCAAAACCTGACACAAAAATGCACCTTTACAAAGCACTTATTAGACCTCTCCTAACATACGCTCCACTAGCTCTTTCTCTATCTCATCCACTATCATTACATATTCAGCTCTCAACAACCAGCACAAACAATCCGTAAAAAAGTTCAGCCCTCATTGGCAACGGAAGCAGCAGCACGTCGCGCTCGCAGTGAGATCTAGGCGATACGCTGTTTGAGCGCCCCCGCACCTGCAACCACCTGCCTCTGCATTATTGCAGTTACATGGGACCACCGTTTTGAGGCATCTGACATCACAACCACCACAGTGATCCAACAGCATCGATTTAACAACAGCCAGAGATGCAGAGCGCTAGTAGCACCTGTTGCTAACTTGCAAGGTCAGGGCCGCTTGGTCGGCCCAGACGAGCATACTCTCGTGGTAACCCTACCTGGGGCCACATCCTTATCACAGCCATCTTCCATCCAAGGCAACACCCAGGCAAACTGGCACACACCTCTTTTTCAGGCAACGACGGCTCTTCCTCTCGGCGTGTTCACGGTTTATGTTACAGCTCTATCAGTGATATAACGTGCAAAGATACATTACCCTAGTGGGCCAACCCGTACTGCCACCCTGAATAAAACCAGGGACAGCTGGATGGCCTAACTTACGTAATGTGTATTGCCGTGCATAGCACTCTTTCTCTCCTCTGCTAAACATTTCTTCCTCTTCAGGCCGGGACCTACCCCCTGTGCGGTGAAAGTGCAGTGGGGTATTCGTCCTTTCCTCCCAGGTGGGGTCACAGCACGTGCTTGCGCCCTGTGTCTCCCTGCCTGGCTTGTTTGCTATGCCGATCCACTGCTAGAACCTCGTGATAGTGCGAGTCAACTAGCAGTGGGGGTTGCCCTTGAGTAACACCTTCAGGACTCACGAATACTTTGTATTTGTGCCGAACCGGGTTCAATTAGCCTGCTAGGAACCCGGAATTACGCCTCTGACAACCGAGCTCCAACCCACAGCTCACGAGCACACTGACCCCCCCACTGAGCTAATGGAATCGCAGTGATTGGCACAAGACACGGGACTGTCAGTAGACAGTGAGTCACAATGGCTCACTGTCTACGGATGACCTACACTGGGAATACACCCATAGACACAGTTGACTGCATCACTACCTTTTACAATGCCACTGGCACACCAGCCACTAACCATATAAAACATGCCAACACAAACACCATCAAATTTCTCATTGCCTCTGAAGACGACCTTTTTGCCTGTTTCAAGGAACCTACTTTCAGAAAACTCACACAAGCTTCACTTACTCCTGTTCTCACTATTGAACAAAAAACTAAATGCTCTGTACTTGTAAGAAATGTCGACAGCTCTGTCCTTTCAGCACCTACTACTATCAATCTCTCTCAAGACATCTCTCACAGGAATGCTATTACTGTAATGGAGATATACCCAGTGCCCAATACAAAACACCTCAAGATCCAATGTTCCTCCCCTACAGAAGCTCAAAAACTCTTGCACCATGGAATTAAAATCCTCCACACCAGCACTCCTCCCTATCTCATTAGTCCAGTTGACTATCTTCCTTTGCTGCAATGCTTTAAATGCTACAAATACAGTCATGAAACCCGGAAATGTAAAAGCCCACAAATTTGTTCAAAATGTTCTGTAGAAGGCCATTTTTACACTCAGTGCTCTGCCAACACTTTAAAATGCATCAATTGCCAAGGAGGTCATTCAGCAGTTGACAAATCTTGCCCTTTGAGAAAGCAAACCCTAAAATCTCTTCGCAATAACCAACCTCGCACTCAAGCACACCCTCATTCCTCTTCTTCAACCTCCCATAACCTATCTCATCACCAAACAGCATCAGCCACCTCAATGTCCTATGCCAGTGTCCTTAATGCTTCACCTCACCAGCAACATCATCATAATACTGCACAACAAACTCAGTCCTCTCCACCTCTCTTCCCTCACCCACCACCTCCACCTTATTCTCCTCTTCAGAACCTTGCATATGAACGAGTCACTGCCTGTGTACAAGCTGCTTACTTGAAGGCCAAGGACGATGGCCGTGACTTTGCTGACTATCTTCCAATCTTTCTCACTCATAACGGCCTTCCTAGTATCTCTGTTCCTCCTACTCAACTATTGCGCTCTGCTCCATTCTCGCCTACAGTCCTCACTCCACAAAACACCATGACTTCAGCTGAAGAAAATACTACAGTTCCCCCACAATCTCCTACCAACCCACTCCTGACTGCTACAGAAAACGGTGCCACTGACCAAACAGCACATCCTGGACTATCCCAAACTGAAGCATCCATGTCAAAGGCACTTTCAACCTCTTCTCCCAACATTGTCCTCTCCACTTCCAATCTGACTACTAACACTACAACCTCTGATACCTCTCACCCGGTCCCTGTCAACAAGCCTTCTGTCTCCCTCCATCCCCCAACAACTTCAGTCATTTCTTCTGTAACTCATCTTGTCTCGTCCCGAGCCCGTTCAGCAACCCGTTGTCTTACTCCCACCTCCCGCTGTAAATATCCTACAATTCCTACCACCATCCTCCAAGATGCACCCTCCTCAATAACTGCCCAACTCATTGAATCACGCAACCCTCATGCTCTTGTACATGCACAAAACCCCACCAGCACCCCATCAAAACCTAAAAATTCATAAAGATCATACAGTTTAATGTGCGGGCATATTTCAACATTAGACACATGGTGTCAGATTTTATTGAGATCGAGAGACCTGATGTGCTATTATTAAATAGCACATACATCACGAACTCATATAAAATCAAACATTATGGCTACACCTCTTACCAGTCACCAGATGAAGCACATGAAGGAGTTGCAATACTCATCCGTTCTTCATACAAACACGAACTCTTACACACTCATTGGCTTCACAAACATTTCCTAGCCATTAAAGTTCATACACAAATGGGGTCTCTCATCATCTGCACAACCTACACCCGTCCTAACACCGACATTCCCATGCAAGATTTCATAACTCTCTTCAACAACTCTCACTTGCCTGTTTTTCTGCTTGCAGACCTCAATGCACAACACCCTACATTCCACCACAATACCACAAATCAGCATGGCAGACAGCTTCACCAAATATACACCCAAAAACATCTATTCTTTCTTGGCCCTGATTTCCCCACTTGTTTCACACATACAGGTTCTGGCCGGCCTGATCTCATATTCACCAACAGACACGGCAGCAACTTGCAACACTTCATTTCACCAGGGCCCATTACGGGCTCTGATCATATTCCCTTAATTCTCACAGTCTCCACAAATCCTATTCTCATCCCCAGCACTCCTCAATTCTCATACCATAGGGCAAACTGGGACATGTTCAAACAACACATTGATGACACTGATCTCACTTATGAATACAATGACAAACATCACACTGACATCGACACACAAGCACGCAACATACAAGACACCATCATTCATGCAGCAAACATCTCCATTCCTAAAACAGCACACAAACCACATTTCACTTTCACCCCCTCCATTCGCTCCAAACGCCTCTTAGCTTGCTATCACACTAGATTCTTACAAAACATACATCGTCATGGACAAATACTATGGGACCTAACAGCATTAAAAAACCATATCCTTAACAGCCTAGATGAAGATCACACAAAACATTGGAAACACCTTATAGAACAAGCAGAACAATACAGAAAACTGACACCTCAAGAATTCTGGAAACGAATCAAACGATTACAAGGATCAACTCACACACCGTTTAAATACCTTCTACATAATAACAACAAAATCACTGATCCTGAAGCAGTTCTCAACATTTTTAAACACCACTGGGAACAAATCTTTCACCCACATCCTCCTGAACCATTTGCACGCCCCAACATTGAAATAGTCGAAGACTGGATACACCAAAATAGACAAGCAACTACACCAGACGACCTCATTCACCTTGAAAATCTCAATTCAAACACTGAACTACAGACTCCCCTAACTCTAGCTGATGTCAAGAC